GCAAGTACTGAATGGAACCAGCGATGAACAACCACTTTTCTGCTCCTCAATTTAGTTAGGGAAGAGTGGAATTAGGTTCCACATCCTATCAGGGAAGCCGGCTGTTTCTGCACCCAGCCTGTGACGAGCACAGAGAAAGGACCTTCGGGATATTCACTTAGCTACCTAGGACAGAAAACCTTTCTAGAGAAAGTAATTGAGATCGGTTAGTTCCCTAACCCGGCTCCCAGGAAGCAGAGCAAGAACACCCGCAGCTCCAGGCGGGCCAAGCCTAGCACCGTGGGAGCAAAGAACATGGCTTCATCGTCCGGGTGCGCGATCACCAGAAGGGCCCGGCTTCCGGCTCCCAGCAGGCCTGCCTGCTCCGGAGACTTCATTCGTTTCGCCGCGTCCCGAACCCGGAGGAAGCCCCATGTCAGGACAGCCACCACCAGACACAGGAGACCCACCACTTCCATGGCGGGTAAGTGGCACCGCGCCTGCGCAGTAAGGAGGGCGGGCTGGACTCGGGCTCCTGCGGGAAAACCGAACCCGCTGAAACTGCGTTCCGTGCTCCAGTGCTCTGTGGCCGGAGACCGGCGAGATTCGTGCTCTACCGTGGAAACTTCTACCCACACCGCGCCGTCTTATCTCGTGTATAGCTATGGCAAAATCATGTCCCCGCTCCAGTTTCAGGGCTAACCCGAACTCTGTGAGGTCTAGTGTCCTTCTTCCGTTCAGCGTGCTTAAAAGGAAGCATTGTGCAATTATTCTGAGATAGTGTTTCGCTGTGTGTACACACTTGGGTGCCTCTGAACTCGCTATGTAGACCATGCCCGGCTCGAATTTGCAATGATTCCCATTCCTCCTCTGCCTCCAGCGCTGGCGTGTCAGGCGTGTCAGCGCACGCCGGCTAAAACGGAAGCCTCTGCAAATAAACTTCAGCATTTGGTAGCAAGCGTTCCCTTCTCGCTTCAACTCGTTTTCTAACCCACTTCTTATGACCCAAGACTTCGTGTAAACAGCCCGTTATCCGGATAAAACTTTTCCGAAGCGGGTCACACTTTGTTATCTTTTTTTCCTCAAAGGGCGGCTTTGATAGAGGAAAAGTAAACCGCTATGAGCAAACGTCATTTCACCAGAAGGGTACGGCTGAGAGGAGGGTCAGGAGGCCCTTAAATTTTCTTAAGAGGT